TGTTTTAAGTTTTGTCCCTTCATTATTTGTATTAACTTTATTTTCTTGTTGGGAACTCTTTCTTACAGGGTAGACATTTTGCTGTTATTTTGCTCCGCATGCGTCTGCTTTGTGCGTTGCTGGTCCGCACCTGTAACCTTTAATATCAGCCGTCCCCTGTTCTTCTATATCTGTAGCTTGACTTCGTCCTGCTTTTGTTTCTGAAGTTTGAGCGAGTTCAGAGTTTCTTGCGAAGTAAACATGACTCTCTCTAGCTTTGTCGCTGTGGTCAGAAAGCATTTTTTGATTCTGCTTGAGCTGCTCCATAAATTCTAGCTACTGTAACTAGAGCGCTTTCTAAAGTCAGTCCTTCCTATTGCAACAAAGTTATCACGCAGTCCCCTACGTGCACATCTTTCCACAAGTTGATCTCTTAACATGTCAGCTTCCAATACTCCAAAGTCACACGATTTAGCCAGTTCTCTTGGTGCATTCACAAAAGCCTCAATAGATTCGTCCTGAGACAGATCTGTCTAAATGTATGCCGTTCCAAAACCACATTTCTCCGCGGTGTAAAGTAAGTGTCTAAGGCAGCTACAGTCTGTTCATATGTACCTTTTTCTCCAGGGAGGTTGGCATGGGCGTCCCGATACAGTGCAGTCTCACGGCATCCGGAGCTTCTGTAGATCCACCGGCTATTTAAAAAAATCTGAACGACTCCATCGTATTCCGTATACAAATCCGGAGCTCCGAGGTTCAGTGGAAGCGGTGGAGAAAGCTGGGCATGAGCAAAGCTTCTCGCCGCGGCGGCCATTATCTTCCACGGCGCAAGCTGAACGAACAGCCCGCAAATTCAACAGTTCGGTTCCACCAGCAAGAGAACTATAATCTGCAGCGTTCTGCTCGCTTTGGGTTCGTCAAGTACTCAGCTCTCGTCGCCATAAATGTGCACATTAGTAAAGAGCCGCTCTTATATTCTGTTTTATAAACTACACAAATCACACCCTTACGCCAAATATTCCCGCTTTGTACTCGCTCGATCCGTTTTCTCGCGATGTCTACGCATGGCAAGGCCAGGAGGTTTTATGGTTTTCCTGTTCATGTCCCAACGAGAAGAAACCAGCATATTCTACAGGGCTAAATGGAGATACAAGTGGCTTTTGTGGAAGCATGGAAGCAAATGAATGATAATCTTGTGAATATGTTGAGAGAGGCTCTCAATGGTGCCATATATGGTCGGATTCGCAAAGAATGGAAATTCACCTTTGTTCAATCATTCAATAATATTTTTATCACAGGTAGGGTAACCACAGAGAAAGTTTATTAGTCCAACTGTCTACCTGAAATTACAACAAATTTGCTAATAAACTAATGAAAAACACTCTCCATTTGTTGTGAGCAGTATATAAGCTTTCCATGTGAGACCTTACTGCATGATAATAAAGAAAAACTCAAATGAAATATACAAAACGCTAAAGTTGCATACATCAAACATTGTTATATTTCCCCTGCTTATTCCAAAATCAGATGAATTATAATGTTCACAATTGCTTCTGATGCCTACAGTAGCTACATCTCACTATCATTTTCTTCTCCTATGTAAAATACAATTATAAGAATTTAAAATTATATAATTTATTGAGGATTGGTCCTACCTTTCTCTATCAAAAGGAATTGTCTCTGAAGCATATTTAGACTTTGGAGCAAAAAAGAACAGGCCTTGTGAAATCCCATGTGCTATTATAAAGTGGAAATGTTTGATCAAGGATGTTTTGAGTCTCCTCTCAGTTTCTCCGGCACAAAATATTTAGTTAGTTAACCTTCACTCTCTTAATAATATTTTGAAATATTAATGTTACAAGAAAACTACTAAAACATGTCAGCATTTAAATAATTAATGAAATCAAATTTGTTTCCCTTTGAAAATGAACTACATGAATGTTTTATTACTTATACAAAACAAGACACTCTGTAATATACAGTTTTTGCCATTAGACTAATTTGTTAGCTCTGTGTGGTGCTTTTGGAGAGGAGGAAAGAGCTAGAAGCTAAAATAACAGATCCCACTTACGTTTCCATTAATTATTCTTATTCATAACTATAACCAGAACATTGATGTACACTCAGCACAAGAATAATATCTGCATATCATAATATATATCAACACAAGAATTAGCACAAGAATTAAAAATATCGTATAATAATAATCATGATATCAGCACAAGAATAAAAAATGTTCATATTCTGCTCTTACTTTTTTTTCAAACACATTACAAAACTGTTGCATATTATTGTTGTTGTTGAAACTTAAATCATAACAACCTATAAAAACTGGAAACAAGGAACAATAATAATTTTATAAACCTGACCTATATCATTACCTTTAAATATTTCTGTGGGAACTTCATTGCAATTTTTCTTTCTGACAAAGAATCCGTTTAAACTGATCTCATTCTGCTTTCATTTACCCAGTTCAAAAGGAAGAAATCATTGTACTGAAATATTTAGACCTTTCTGAATAGCATGTTTCAGGTGTAAATGAAATCTGCTCTTTATTCTGAATCCTATTCTTGTATTGAATATGCATATGTCAGCTGCATTTTATCTGAATTCATGTCTTTTTTCCAAGTTGAAGAAAATGCTTAAGAGAATCCATTCATCATTTTAACATAATGTGGAATTACCACCTGTGCCTCATTTAACTGACTTAATGAGCTCTGGAGAGAGAAAAATGCTGCAGAAATTTCTGAAGGCATAAAGTGACAACTCATGACTACTTCTTATTCCTTACAGTGAGTTCAAGAACAAGAACAAGAACAAGAACACAGAGGCAAGCAATATCAGGATATACATGTTGCTCTATTTTAAATATTCTTGCTTGTAATGATAGGACATAAAAGATAAATCTATAGGTAATAAAATACTTGACTTAAAACATATACAGTATTGTGAAGGTTACAGCTTCTTACTGTAAAATGCTAAAGCTAGGAAGCTATATTTAACAATACTTTCACAAATACAGTAAAGGCATATACTCTGAAATAAAATTTAAAAACAATTAATTTTAAAAAATGAATTTAAGACAATAATCTTATTTCCAAATCCAGCACAAGACACGTATTGATTCGACTAGTATTACAAGTGACTAACATAGAACAAAAAGGTTATATTGATAAATCCTCAGTACCTCTAAATAACCGCATTTTTCACCATTCGTAAATTTTCTTTTCTAAACTTTGGCTTGTAAAATAATTCTAGAGCACACTTTTTTTTTCCAAGACAAGGGCTTGATTCCACACCGGGTCAAGCAGAACATAAGGTACATAAAGATGTATTGTGCATCGTGGTGGACTTCTGTGACTGGGCAATTTGTCAAACCCAACCTCTTCTACATTATCAATCTGACATTCCCTCTCTAAAGTGTAAGAAGACGTGGCCTCATATTTATAAAGAGCAGACGAGTGGAACATGTACTGTATATATTTCTAGTCACAAACCCAAAGAAATTAATCAGGTCTTGGAAACCCTGATACTCAAGTAACCGGAAAGAGCTTGCTATCTGCAGAAATGAGGCACGTATCAACAGCATTACCTTTTAATATTCAGAGCACATCTATTCTCGTCTTTTGTAAATGCTTTCCTGACAAACCTCAGTTGCTGCTAACAGATGCACCATTCTATTCCTATGCACTTTAAGAGTGACAAACATAAGGACATCCGCATTAAATCGCATAAATAATCACAATCAAAAATCCAGAGCAGGCATACAATTGCAGGAAAACAGCTTAGTACACCCACTCTGAATTTTAATAATGGATTTACCTTTTTAACATAGACATGTCTGAGTGTTGAAGTAATAAGTATTTTAAAGATCACTGAGATCTTTAACGACATCCTACTGTACACACTGTAATATGAACAGACACTATCCCCATTGTGTAAAACCTTTAACGTATCAGGTAAGTCATCTGAGAACAAATTCTCATTTACAATGACAACCATGCAGTCCATTCATACAGTTATACCATACAAAGGAGCATACAGTATGTATAGTGTAAATATATATGAATAAACAACCTGAGTGAAGCACCTTGTGCAATTGTACAACAGCAACACCAAACCCATGATTTTAACACTTCATTTTCTTCATTAACTCTTTCCTACCTTCGAAAACATTTTTGGCAACTTTCCTTCAGATCTTCCTCTCTTTACCCTTCCCAGTCATCTGTACGAAAGACATAATCACATATCACACAAAGATAGTATTTCTTTATATTGCCTATATATGATTTTTCAAGCTATTGCTTTCATTTTTACTATAGTTCTGATTCCTTAAAACAGATACTAGAAACATATTTATTTTCTTTAATTCAAAACAGCCCTTCTGGTGTCTTTGTAAACACCTAGTCTCTACATTTTATTCTAAGACTAACTAGTCAAATTATAGCTATACTTAAGCTAACCATATCTAGTTTTAGATCTTCAGCAATTGCTAACTGAAAAATACATATAAAACCCTGCAGGTGTTCTCCCTTAAAGATCTGAAGTTTTGTCTTCCCACAAAGCTCTCCTAGTACAAGTCAGTCTGTGCAGTTGGAATTGAGGTGAGCTGGGCTTATTGACGTGTTTAGAGACAGGTTTCTAGATGGCTAGATAACTAGGTCAGGTGTTTAGTATTTATTCAAAAATAAACCTATTGAAAAAAAATCAAATCAGTCTGTATTTTAATAAAGGAATCACACGTCTCTATTTAACTTTAATACTCAAAAAGAACACTCCCTTCCAAACTTTTACATAGTTTAATGAGAAAGCTAAAAATCCCTGAATGGCTTTCTTCTTTCAGGTAGCTGTAATTTTTTATAATTGATCAATGTGTTCAAAAGGGGTACACCTGCAATAAAAACCTAGGGCTTTCGTTTACATTACAAAAAAAAGTTTGGATAGTCAGACTCACTTGTTTTTCTATTCCTATTCATACTCACATACCATCTCCAAAAAAACTGTTTGCTTTAATGATGCTGAACTAATTATACCCTGTCAGGCTGCTCCGTTTGTATTGCCTGAAACAGAAATTCCAGTTTGTAATGAGGAGTTTAGGGGGGGAAAATAGATATGCATAATATAATGGAATGAATTCGATTTTTCCTTGTTTTCACCCGAAGGGAAAAATAAAGTTTGCCAAAACATTGAGTGCCATTCATGTTATCCAGGAACCTTATTCCTCTGGTGTTTTTGTAATTAAAGTTACAATATGTAGATGCTGTCTGCTGTAACATTAACGTTAATTAAAATGAAGAACTTGCATCACAGGAACAACTAGTGGGGGTATGGTTGGTGAGCTCAGACCTGAAATACAATGATTACACTTTTGAGGAATCTTAATTGCTCCTGCTGTGAAAAAGTATAGGTAATTGTGACCTCTGTAAATTGCCTTGGATAAAAACATCAACCAAATCAATTATCATGAGTCTTCTCTCTACCAGAAGTAGACCGATTGTGTGCATCACAGACAGAATTAACAGGCTTTACTCTCACATCTGGTTTCTCTCTCTTTTTTTCACATATTGCACAAAGATTTGTTGTTTCCTCTCTCAAGACAGAAGCTGTTTTCAAACTATTTCCTTCTACTTTTTACTTTACTGTAAAAACATTTGGGTTTATACAAGTAAACGTGAATTTACCCTACTGGTACAGTATATGCTGTATTATATTTCTATTTTTTTCAAAAGCTTTCATTTTCCATATTTAACATACTGTAGCATTTTCTATGCTGCAGTTTGGAGTCCTACAAAGATTCAAATATTTTTAAAAATGTAAAAAATATCTTCTTTTTTGTGTTTTTAATTTTATACTCTCTTTTATAAACAGTTTTATATTAAGAATGACACATACAGTAAGATATGAGTCACCACTTTTATGAATAAACATTTTGTCTCACAAAATGTAAGCAAAACAAGCCTCATAAATCAAACGCCAAACGTTCATATCTCCATTTTAGTTATTTTTAAGTCTAGGTGGGTTACTTAAGAGGTTTTAAAAATAACCAATGTGTCTTTCTTTCACATAACCTGACTTCATACATCATAAGCCATTTAAATACCTTATTTTAATCATTTTAAAAATATTCTCCCATTAGAATAGAGTGGAATAGAACATTTTGCTTCCTAAGATGCATGATTTTACATTTTTAAAGGTATTAATTTTTATTACCCTCCTGTCTATTGCTAATTTTATTTTTTTTTAACCTCTAGAAAGCACTTTAAACAGAATAGCTTACAGTAATCAGGCGTCTTAAATGGCACGATTACACAGATGCACCATGAATGGTGATAGCTATACCATAAATGAACATAATAATGTACAAGAAATGATAAGACATGTAAAGAATGGCATGTTGCTTTTCTTTTATCTGAGAGAGCACTTTGTGAAAATGTTTCTGTGTTTTATACACTGACTTAAAAACCATGACAGTCATGATGAAAATGGTGATAATCCCAACAAAGTTTGTTTAAAACATCAGAGGTTGCAACCCAGCATGAGTATTTAGCTTGAGGTCAAAGTTGCACCCTGTTGTATTAGAAATACAATATAGGGCATTGGATAGGGCATTTTGCGGGCTTTACTACACATAATGTAAAAGTAAAAACAAAAAAAAAATGAAATGGCACTGGAACCACAATAGAGTGAGAGATATCAATGATGCCTTATAACTTTAATTCTGGCTTTAGTTGTCTTTCTGTGTGGAGTTTGCATGTTCTCACCAGGTTTTCTGGTTTCCTCCGATCTCGAGTGTCACTTTCTTTCTTCTACGAATGATGGATTGCTGATGTTCTGCCTTCTGGATAGGCTGTGGCTCGCCATGATTTTCAACAGTATGAACCGCTTTATGATGATGAATTGATCATGGCACCCTCCTTGTTTTTTTAATCATTTTTAAAATATATCTGCCCGGTTGAGCTGAGTAAAATAATGAATATAGTGGCTGACAAAAAGGAACAATTGTAAAGACAAATTAGCCCAATTAACACTGTACAGATCCTGATACTGCATCTACCGAGAAATGTTTTGATAAATTGTTCTGTTATCGTAAATAAATGCTTTTAACATACAATAATAATTCTGTCCATTTGCTCTTGCCTTAAGTTATTTTTTAATGTACTGTAGAAAGCGGAACTGGAGGTGAAGCTGAAACATTTTAAACATAATTAAAAATCAGAGATATTTTAATTTCAAGGCTATTACAAATGGAGAGAGCGGTACTGAATAATGCACTGTGCTGTACTATGCTGACCTAGTTACTGAACCATTGTTATTCCCTGTGGTGTGGAATGAAAAAAAAAAATATGCAAGGGATATGCAGTTAAAAATAGTGTCTCCAAAAGACAGCCTAAAAATAAGGAAAGGTTCCAGTGTTTGGGAAGTAAACTCAGGCAGAATGTACAGTAAAAAAGAGTTACCATTGGTAAAGATATCACCTTTACATGCTGTATCAATCAGACACTCAGTGTGTGGGAGAGAAAATCGTCTCCATTATTTAGTGCCATTCTACATCGAAACCCAGTGGGTGCTTTGGATAGCGGTAACAAGGACAAATCTCTCAAAGGCAGAGACACAGTGCATTATATTCTTTCATAGCGCCTCATTTTTCCCTCAGCCTGCCAAGCATATCATATAGCCATCAACTAGTATTGAAGAAAAAAATCCATGACAGAAAATCCAATATCAGTCATCCTCCTTCTTTCTGCACTGCTAGCTAAAGTTAACTCTATGTATTCACACCAGAGTTCTCACATCTAGCTACTGCATAACCAGAAATCTTGCATCTATAAATCATCTTTAAAGTGGACAGTGTAGGTTTCATTCCAGAGATGTAGGGCATCCTACAAGAGCTGCAGTGAAGTTAAAATGTATCAAAATTGTCCCTATTGGTTATTTTACTGATTGTGGGTAAAGATGGGAAACTTAGATTAGAATACATGTTTTGTAACTTGTGTATAGATCTTAAGGATCTTTCCAAATGTCAGATCATCCCTTGTAACTATAATCTCCTATAGACAGCTGCAGAATGGCACCTAGGGTGTACCTCCAGTATGTTATTGTTAAAACAACTGAACAACTTGGGTGTGAAAAGAGATATACTGTAGCATACTATTTCAGAAGTAGAGTTTTAAAAAGAAACCACATGAAAGTGTTGCAAAAAAGCTTATAAAGGGCACCTACTTCATTGCATGTGGAGGTTTCGATTGGGATTTGCTTTTAATGTACATAAGTGACATCAAAGTCATGCTTTCATTTGCTTTTTTCCCCATTTTTCTATCATTTTAGTCTGAACAAAAAAATCTCCCAAGCTCTCTAGATTTAAGAACAACAATAACGCCATTTAAAAGCTTGAAACCCACATCAACGACCTCATATCATACAACAATGCAAAGTGCAGAGGCTCATTAAAGGTCTTCCAAGCTTTGAGACTAGAATTGTTCTTTTAACATCACCAGCAGGTATTAATGAAAAGAGCCTCTCCTTTTTATATCGGATCATTACAGGAACAAATGTTTCTTTTTTCTGCTCAGCTATTGCCTTTATGTTTCTTTTTTTACTGGAATCATTGACAAATATATACTACGTACAGTAACATTCCAATGCATAAAGTGACGTTAATTTGTACCGTTAATTTGTACTCTTGCACAATTGATCACATTTACAAAAAACATCATCCCTTCATTTTCTGTTAAAAACGTATTTTTTATAAGAGAGATCAGATTGTTTTCAAGAAATATTAAAAGATAAGTAATGCACAAAACCTGGAACAGATAACCAGATACTCTTGTGTATTATTTTGTTTCAATTGTAGCTTGTTTTTAAAATCCAGGTGAAGAGAAGACATTAATATCTCTACAAAATAACCTAAGTACAGTGCAACTACAAGATGATCTAAGTACAGTGGAGTTTGCAACTAAAAGAGATAATCACAGCACATGCTTATCCAATTCAGGGACACAGTGGTCAGAGCCTCAGAAATCTAAAAAAACACTGGGTGCAAAGGATACACACTGCATGGGGTACACACAAACAGCACACCCTCACACAAGGGCCAGTTTTTACAGAAGCCAGTTCAGTTAATCTGGCAGCATGTCTTTGAACTGAGGGAGAAAACTGGAGCACCCAGAGGAATCCCCCACAAACAGGTGGTGAACATGCAAACTCCATGCAGATACTGTAGCACCCCAGGAATTGAAACCAGGGCTATAGAGCTGTGAGTTAGTGATACTAACTGCTGTGCTCCTCTGCTGTCCTAAATGAGCCAAGTAATGGGCAAAAAGGAAATGCACTGTACATTGTCAATCACTTCTTATTATCAATAAAAAAGTTGTTACTATACAGGTGTATATATATATGTTTGTTTATCCTAGAGGATCCTAAACAAAACTGAACAGGCTGGAGGAGACTCAAGTTTGTCCACCCCTGCAGTACTATCTCTGTGGTGGCAGTCAGGAGCAGTTTAAGCATGTTTAATTAAAGAAAGACATCCACAACAACAGCAAATCCACTGAGTAGATCACTGGCAGTGCTGTAAAACACAATGTTGTTTCCAAAAAATAAGGCTTTTGCTGGAGTTGTAGGACTGTGAAATGTATAATGGAATGTTTCATTTCTGTTCCACAAATATGGTAAGGATACATCAGATAAAGATGTACACAGAGACAACATCTTTAAAAATGCTATTGTGAGATCAGAAAGATTAAACACTTACAGTACAATTCTTCATTAGCAGGACATTAACAAAGCTTCCTTTAGACACTTTACAGCTCATTTCTTTTCACTGATATGATTGAATACAAAAGCTTTGAAATTAACATAGCAGATGAAGAGGACTGATTTTAACAGACTGCTATAAAAAGCAAAAGAGCAGGGCAATCAGTAAAACAGTCTTATAATGCTTCTAAACAATGCATATCAATGAGAAATGAGTCATGATAGAGCAGGTGACTAATTCAGCCTTGCAATGCTACTGTTAACACACAGCAGAAGGAGGCACTGTAACTTTTATCCTGAAATTCAGGCTAGATTAACTTGTCACCTCCACTGACACAAAGTTGACTTTATTTTGAGTGTTGTCAAGGCACAAATCTCAAGGAATTCATGGTACTCATTGAATTGAACATACTGTACCAAAGTCCCCCTGGTCCGAACTTTGTTTTGGTCTTAAAACATGATCAAAATCAAATTTAAATTTATCCGAGAAGTTTTTGAGTGTGCAATTCCATACAGTATGACATTTTGGAGTTGTTAGATGAGCGTTGCAAATCATTCTAACTGCATTCTTGGACACATTTCCATGTTCTTCAATACACATAAAAATAACTACTGGAAGCTTCTTTTTTCCCCATTTGCTTTACACTGTTTTTATTTTATATTACTACTGTGAGTCACTGAAGGAAACCATTCTGAGAGTCTTGGCATTATTCGCAATATTGACGGTGATAAAACATCAGCATCTTCATTCTAAATGGAGGTTATTTTTGTCTTGGTGTCCAAGAGGCATTGATTAGACAACAGCTGACGCCCCTGCACCTGGCAAGGCTAGAAACAAAATCGTGATTATGCATTTTTAAGATTTACAGTGTGCTGTGGGAGTAGGAAGTTTTAGGTGAGACAAAAAATAAACATTTTATGGACAATTTAGGCAACTTCTTTGTCAGACGCACTTAGTGAGCACCTGAGTGGTTATTTAGAATAGTATCACTAATTATCCATTTTCTAACCACTTCTTCCAATTCAGGGTCAAGTAGTGGAGCCTATCTTGGTAAGCAAAGGACTCAAGGCAGGGTACACCCTGGATGGGACTCCAGTCCATCAAACAGCAGAAACACACACACACCAGGGCCAATTTACCCAGAAGCCAATTAACCTACCAGTATGTTTCTGGAATGGGAGGACCCAGAGTTCCTAGAGGAAACCCACGTCAACATACAGGGAGAACATACAAACTCCACACAGACAGCACCCCTGGTTCAGAATTGAACCCGGAGCCCCAGCGCTGTGAGGCAGCCGTGCAAACCACAGCGCCATTGTGGCACCACTACTGTTCCGATTTTTCTTATTTGCCACATTCAAACCAATAATAAGTGATTTTGTTAAAAGTAAAAAAAAACACTTCAGTAAAAAGGAAAAACTAGATTACTTATTATTATTCTGAATTCAAGAAGCATTAAGCAAAACAAGAAAAACTATCCAGAACTTCATTAATTACTGTCATATGGTGTTGATAATTTTTTGTCAGGTTGTTAAATAGTGTTGAATTGTCCCATCTTACCACATTAATAAACCATCTGTAGCTATTGTTCAGGCAGTTAAATTCTCATTTAAATTGATGACCTGGAGAGTCAGTTACAGCAGTACTTTAACTGGAGCAATTTGAATGAATCCTTCCTAAAGGGTACCTGGGATGTGAATCCGTGATCCTCTAATCCAGACTCTGTACTGCAAAACATTACTTCACATTGCTGCCAGTCAAAGCTTCTAAATTTACAGTTAAACTTACAGTAGGCAAATGTCCTCTGCTCTACTAGTTTTGAGGCAAATGACTGAAATCTAGAAAGATAAATGCAGTCTATCGAGTTTTCCTTATGTTATTAAAACAAAGTCCAATGCATATGCTTGTCAGAGTAACAGATGCCATACATTAAGGCAAAAATAATGTATGATTCTTTTTCCATACCTGTAGCTGAAATCCTGTATTTTCATTAGGAGATGTACGAATGTTTTCATTCACAGAGCTTTAAAATTGCACTCATACTGTAGCACAACTCAAGTCAGTGAGTAAAGCAAATGTCTCGGCTGTTTCGTGTTCTGATGCTGTCACCACAAGAAACAACAAAAACAAAAACACAGCCACTTGCTCAAAGCCGGATTTATCAGCTTCAGAAAGCTAAAACTCACAAAAGGCCAATTTTGAGATCAGTTTTACTTACCCAGATGAAAGCAGACCCCATTAGTTTTTCATATAATCTAAAAAAAGAAACAAAAAAGGACCTAATTCAGTTATTCTACTACAACATGTAATGAACATGCATGTTGCTCCTGATGACAAGTTCTATTTGTGTTGTACATTCACGGTGATAGCATAACAGTTGAAGGATGGGCAAAGAATTATAAGTTTAAGTTTCAAATATTTAACTTTTCAAAAGACTAAATACGATTGCAGCAATCTTTGCATGTTCAAGAAGGGAGTTGCATCAGCCTGCATAGGCTGCATAGGAACAGGTAAAGAGTTATCCCATGCTGAAAGGAAACAAAAAGATACAACATTTCAGCTGTTGAGCCTCCTTCAGGTGTGGCACCTCGAATGTTGTGAACGTTCTTGAATTCTGTGTTATTGAACAAACATTCAGCCTACTTCATATCGGACAGAATTCTTGTAGAAATCAAAATCGTTTTTGAGAACACTAATTTCCTCAGGGAACAATTGTATTTTATCAATGTTTACTGTAAAGGTGGGCATCTCAGCAATGTATGGGAAAGCCTTGTGAACAAATACAACACCCTTAAGTACAGTCCATTCACAATAAATCTTCCTTGACTTGTTTACTGTATTACACTACTCAACACGTTAAAATCAAGCAAGGGAGACTATACAGTAGATTCTTCTTTGTAGAATTGTGGAAGCACCAAATGTTTTGATTTTTTTATCTGACTGTAATAGACAATAGCTAAACAACTTGGTTCACTGCTACGAGTCCTGAAATCTGCAGCAGGTAGGACTTATCCTGGAAACCTGAAAACCATACATGCACTCCTTCAACACATCCCTGCCAAGATATACTGTATGACACATACTGTAGTTGGTTTCAAAGTGTGTCAGAAGAGAGATAGCACTGATAGCACGAACAGAGAGCCTCCTCCTAAGAACACTGCATGTTCACAAGAATCAAGCAGGTAATAAAGAACCAGAGGACACCTTGGACAGTGCTGGTCAGATGGCCACTACTGCCTGTAGAATCTGGTCATAACTGACTACAACCTTATTCCAGGCTCCAACAGGTGATATACCATAGGATTCAAAGTATGTCCTAAATCCTAAGCAAGCACTTTGACTTGTTGAGCTGTCCAGTGTCTCTTGAAGGGCACATCAGAAGTGAGCTTGAATTCAGATGGAGAAATAGTTAAGTCTGGATTTCATTTCTGTTTTGGGACATCTATAAGGATTTAAAACTATAATATTTAAGTGTCATAGGTCTTATGTTTTTTTTCTCTCCTTCCTCCTGAACTGTCTGTTTTTTGATTCAACGGTAATTACAAACTGACATTTCATTTTTTGTTTCAGCCTTCAGGCAGTTCTGGAGTTCTTAAAGTGTGATATCTCTGAAGACTCTAAATTAAGCACGAAGTAAAGATCTCGGCCATTATTTTTCTAATTTCTGTTCTTATGTGCTATTTATACTTTCATTCCCACCTCACCATGGAAACATTCAGGCAAGAAAGGGCTAATTTAACAATCAAGGATAAGTTTAAAAAAAGGTTCTTGCTGGCTCTGCTTATGATTTCCAATAGCTGGAAAGAATAGACTGTTTTGTACAGTAAAGGACTTTATTCTAGTGTTACAGCAGCTTAAGTTTTAAAGGAGTTAGTGAAGTGAAGATTTTGGATGGAGAAAAGTGCTCAAATGCATATAAGAGGCAGTCATAGACAAGCACGAGTAACTCTTACTTTTTGGGCTACTAATGAGGTCAAGAAAAATGTATTATTTTTAGTTTTCTAAAATCTTAGAGCGACACAAGGCTCCTAAAGCCTATGAGGTTTTTTTAACTACACTTTTGACAGATATTCCAAATAAAGTTGGAAGCATTTTTTTCTAAAAACAGTAGAAATTGAACCTCCTGAAAGATTCAAGTCCTTCTATAAAAAACCCTTATGTGAGCATTTTTTAGATTATAGATGGGGGAGATTTTGTAATGTGTTTGAGAAAAAGTGCAAGTTGTTTTTTTTACGAAAGTTTTTCACCAAAGAAAAATAAAAAAAATATGTGTGTAAAACTCCTAAGGGACTAAAAACCATCTGTTCTCTGTATTGACCTCAATATGTTTGGGACAGTATACTCACAGAGCTTCTCAGAAATAACCACATCATCTAAGGAAGACCTTTATGTTAAAATCAACAAGCTAAAAAGCTCTAGCTATTTCAAGATCTCTCCTACTGCAATTGTCATTGAAAAGCACTTTAACAGACATAAGATTACACTGGTTTTCTTTAGAAGAATGTAAGAGAGAGGCTAATGTTACATTGCAATATTCTACAGTAGCTTTTTTAATAAATCAAATTAAATTAATGCAAAGTTGCCTATTGTTTAAAAACATACCAGTACCTGTGACTTTCCTCCATATTTCCAGATGCAATAGATGGACTTAATGACCACAAACCTCAAAAGAGCCTAAAAAATGTTTTTCTGTTTTTTTTTCCCAAAAGATTATTCTGTGTTTTTATTGATCATCTTAAAAATCTGGATTAATTTAATTTTTTGTCATCTTCACTGTGCATCTGTATCAAGCAGTATGTGAAATAGGCACTCCATGCAATACATTTACTATAGATTTTAATCTCATTCTTGCCATTTCACAGCCCTGTTTCTCAGTCTAGAGCTTGAAAAGATCCTGGGAGAATGTCTCAGCACAAATACTGGTGATCCAAAAATAATATCCTGAGGAAAAATTGGTACTGAACTTTTCATGTTAAGCAAAAGCCATTCTCTAGCTGTATTAAATCTGTAGAACATATATGAGCAATTCACAGACCTTTTCTTTCATATACTGTATGTCAAAAGATAAACTGCGGAAGGAGTACGACTTTCGAACCATGCTATGTCTGCTGTATAGATGTTCTATAGCGCAGGCATCTTTATGCCTGATCTTGGAGAGATACTGTATGAAGTCTTTAGGTTTGGGCTCTAGGTAACTTAATGGAGTCAACAATTGATTTAATAATTTAAGATTAAAGAAACATTCAGTTATTGAGAATAGACAAGGTAAAATCTGAAGACCTGGGGTTCTACAAAACAAGATCTAAGACTCTTTCTCTTAGCAAATAGGTAATGATTTACCATTACAGTCACAATTTACAGCATGATAAACAATACGCAGCATAAAAGTCTGAATATAACATGGTAGTCACATTGAATAAAAAGTGCTTCTCTTGGAGTGCAGGATTCAGCATTTATAGGAAAAGAGACCATTAAGGCTCATCTGGTTAAAACACTATACTGCTCTGTGCGTGCTGAAGTAATTGCTTCCTGTGCCCATTTCATGAAGCGGTTGTTCTTGGCTGCAGTTGAAAGAAATGGCTCTCTCGTAGACTAGTGTTGTTAAATTAGCTACATTTATTTGCCTTTCCATAGCCCAGTGATCATATAAAACCAAAACCCAGAAAGCGCTAGAAGGTTCTTTTCCATCTGTGTCTCTTCACCTCAACTGTGTTTAATCTATTAGAACAGAATAGATGCTACTAGAATCGAATCTATTTTAATCTATTAGAACAGAACTCAGTCATACCTGACTGAGTTTGACGACAGAGAATGCCCATTGGCCACTATCCCCTCTCCTCCATGTGTAACAATGCAAAACAACATGACATTTGACAACGTGGACCATTTTAACAAACAACTCACCACCCCAGCAGTTCCTAGCAATTAGAAAGCATCACAGTGAAGGGTTATTGTCGTAAATGTATTAATCAAACTTTAGTTTAGGATTTGCAAAAATACCCTTTATATATAAGACAAATGTTAAAACATGTATAAAGAATTACAGATAGAACTAAGCTGTCTCCTGCAAATAATCCCAGGGTTAAAGTTCATATGGTTCAGGTTATAGTCAGGATTAGGGTTGTATCCCCAACATGCAATTCATATTCAGCAGAGCCTGAAGATAATATAATTACATTTATGTCACTCTGTTAATATGGTTTTTAAGATATTCCTTTGATAAAATATTAATAAAATAAATTTGCAACCTGTGAAATAATTTGTCACTAGTATATTTCAAGTTGCTAATCCACATAGTTAGTTTACTGTTTTTATTTTGTGTCATTAACTTACTGTAGGTTTCCACATGGAAAAAGTACTTGTGTGGTTGTGGTGAATAATGAAATACAGCCTTCTATATTCAGGATGAGACAGAGGTTTGCTGTCTATGGTCCTTTAATCATATATTCTATTCTACAATGTACTGTAAATCCACCTTCTTTTTTAGCAAATGCTATTTTTTTCAGCCTGTGCTTCTAATCCCTCCAGCTGTGTGCAGAAATCTCGCAGCCAGGAGAAATCCTGATTGTATTCAGTTGAGCTGGCAGTCCTTAGATGTTTAAAAATAAGCATCATTTGCATTTCTTGTAATTAAACAATTTGCTATTTTTGCTGGTCAGCCGTTATTGAATCCAACTTAACCTCAAATAACCAAAACCCTTCTTTGCCTAGCACTTCATGTTGGTGTTCATTTATTTTTGTAGTTCCTTGGTCAAGAATACATTCTACAAACTCTGAAATTTCTTGAACTCAACTCCTAATATTAAGTATTAAGTATGTTACTTATAGGAGAAAAAAAAGTCATTTCAGACTGGTGTTGGATTAAACTGGTTAAAAGAATCACAATACTGTAAATACAGTGAGAAATGCAAAGCAAACGGTTTTAGTCCCTCTTGGTTAAATCTCCAGTTAATTTGTTACAGTTCATTAGATAATAACTTCGAATCCCAGAAACATGGGGAGACAGGTGGAACTACAGTATATAACGTAGAAGGAATGCCAGTCCACTGCAGGGGCAATAGTTAAGTTCATAACACTATCATCTATCTGTAGGATTAATACAATAGCAAGGCATAGACGTTCTTGCACTCTGAAAGCATTCTACTAGAGAAGCAACTTGTATTGGCATGATTAATCTTGTCTCTTCATCAGGGTGGAATGGTAAGGCTACAGTACGCAAAACCTCTAGGGTTATCGACAACAGTACTCGACTGAAATGGGTCACAAGAAAATCAGAAAAACTGTCAGAAAAAAAAAAGTCTGAGGCGAAGTTTCCTGTTAATGAGGCTCAAGCCATTAAAATTTCATCGCAGCCTAGTGCTGTGAAGAGTGGATTTGTTTTTGATTAACCTGCAGCCTCAAACTATGCCTATTTCCAGCACCATCTTCTTTTAGCTTTCCCCAATACACACAAAAATAAAAAGTAAACATGAAACTGTCCCTATTCCCCTAGTGAGACTTCATTTGATCCAGTGCGTCTCATCAAATGCATTTCACATTTCGACCAGTGTTCTAATAGCATGGGTGCATTCTGTTTCTTTTAAATGATTTTGCTAAAGTGTAAAACATGGCTTACCGCATTAATGTACTGTAAGTGCTGTTAATTCCACCTGCTCCGTTGAAGGGAATTCTCTTCATCCTGGCAATAAAAAGTTGTTCAAGAATGGTGCATTTTTCATCCTGAAATGCAGTATCTGGACATGACTACCTTTCCGTATTGCTTCACTCCTATAACAAACGTGAAAACTTAGAGACCTTAGAAACAACACCTCAAGCAAAGGTCTCAACCTTACCTATTAACTGCTTTTTCTCTTCGTGTTATAAGCCATCCCATGAATCTTTGAGTTGTCCACAGTTTTCCATCCATTTCTTAGGTGCAAGGAGAACACATTGATCAAAGATGTTTTCCTTTGAGGAACAAAATATTTGTTGTATGTAAACAAATCGGATGTTTTGTTCTTCAGCACATCCTTCGAACATTCAACGCGGTACGAGAAAGCAGCTGGGGCTTTTGCAATATCATTAAACCAATTCAATGTGTTTTTTTATAACAAGGAAACAGTTTCAAACTGCAGTGTGAAGAGGCTTCTGAAACTCAGTTAGGGATTTAAAACCAGGTGCTGTGGATAATGTGCTTACCCGAGGCTGAAGTTCGTGAAAAGTTTGTGAACAGTTTTTTATTACCTTCTGCCCCTGGTGAAATCATGCTTATAACTCCATCCATCCATTTTCTAACCCCTTCTTCCAATTCGGAGTCACGGGGGAGCCGGACTTTATCCCAGCAAGCAGCAGATGCAGAAGGGAGGATACATCCTGGACGGGACACCAGTCCATTGCAGGGCACATATAGACGCTACACACAGACACACTGACACCTAGGGCCAATGTTTCCAGAGGGCAATTAACCTACAGGTATGTTTTTGGACTGTGGAAGGAAATCGGCGCACCTGCAGAAAACCCACACGAACACAGGGCTCCAGTTTACATTGTGTGGTGTTGTCTGTTGTATTGTGTGTGTCCTGAGAGATCAGCACAAATACTAATTACAATGTACATGCACACAGTATGGCAATAAACCCATCTATCCTGCCGACATTCCCTTTGTCTTGGAGAGAAAACATACTAGGCCATACGTCGCAGCAGTTTGCTCGAACCTGGAGGGATTGCTCTTTTTCAACACCATTTGGGGATGAGTCACAGGAGAGATGTGAACCTGACTGATGCTACAAGATAACCCATCCATAAATACAATCTCTATATCCATTTTCAGTTTTGGGGGAGAAAAAAGGTCTTATAGGGAAAAACATAGGGTTGTACAGAACCGTATGATACTAGTATTGATCCATGGTAATGCCTGTGAGGCTTCTGCAAGTGAAGGGTACAATGCCCCACATAAGGTAAACAATGCCATTTTCTGGTCAATATTTTCTGTGGAATTTAGCCCTTCCAAACAAAAGAAATTCACAGGGGGGAAATCAACAACATTTCCCTCCAGACACATGTGCAGACAGTAGTGTGGATTTTCAAAGACGTTACTATATTGTTTCGCCTCAGAATAATTACCCACTAACACTCCAAAATAAAACCAAAATCTGCAGGGATGCATTCAGGAGAATAGGCTCTGTCCTGCTTATCTTTCATTCTGAGAGAAGACAAATTTCTTTGCAAAGTTGCAAAGGCTAGCTATCATGGGACTACATCAGGGCTCGTTCCCTAATCTCACACCTTACTTGTCCATTGTCATAAGGCAGAGAATTCAGACCCCAGATCCCAAACACTTTCTGAAATCTGTGAAAAGTTTGACGGACGGCAGTGGCTTCCAGCAAATTCTGCCAGGAGAAAAAAAAAAACTGAATGGCTTGATTGTCATTTGCCAGCCAGTTTAATATCTTCGTTGTGGTACTTCAGCAGCTCGAAATGAGAAGTGAAGCACTGAGGGTATATTAAGTGATGAAGAACTTCACTTCGAAGAAAGGAAAAAAACCAAGGGACCCCCCTCCGTAGCCTGCAAATCAAAGATAAATCCTCGCTGGACTGAGCCAGTGTGAGGATAAATCAAAACATGACAGAAAGTGATAGCTGTGGGCAGGAGACACAGCACCAGTTGTATGAAAAATGTGACACGCCATGGAGCACAGAGCCACCATTTTTCAGAGGGAGAATGTCTCGAAACACATTGTATTGACAAGAGGAGAAAGAGACACCCTTAAGTTCAACACATCTGACATGTGACAGTATCTCAGACGTAGCATTTGTGTCTCTGAATTCATTTGTCCTCTGCTCGACTACAAAAGCCTGGAAACAGAACTGGAGGGCTATTTTAAGGGCGCACAGGCCTACAGGTTACTCTCCCAGAAACACAAAAATAGGAAAGATTTGTAAAAGCCAGAAAAACTAATAACATTCAACACTAATACAGACATCAACACCACTGCTCTCCCCTTAGTTCCCACTTTAAGTGGGCAAAAACAAACACAAGGACTGTTTACTAACAATATACATCTATATATTTCCATATACTGTAAAAGGTCACAGGTAGCACTGCTTTGAATTTGAAATAAAAAACTGATATTTGAAAGGTCATTCATTAAGAAACGTGAGGTGCCATGACATTGAATTATCAACAAAGTTCTATTTTTCAATGTGTGGTGAAGCCGCGAGGGGCTGAGACTTTGAAGGACGGTACTTTCCCTGTGAGCTCCTACTTTTTTTTTTTTTAAGCTTTTCCCCCTGCGCAGGATGGCAATGCGCAGATCTCAGGTGATTTGACAGGACCCCAGCAAGCAGGAGGATCAGCTGCGCATCGTCCTCCAGACAGGATAAATCGGGCACCGAGCGAAGAAGGAGACGGTCTTGACAAGGAGGCAAATCCAAAGAAGAACTCGGTCAGATCTCTCAACCTTCGGGTAGCACAAGCTGAATCTGTTCCAATTCTGAAGTTCTGCTACATAACCTATTATTTTTCTCCAGCTCAGCTGCAAGGGCAGGCATGTTGCTAATTACAATCTTTCCCCAGGACCAGTTGGAGGGCCACTCTGTGGCTATTATTTTCCTCCAGGCTAAAGGACAGCATCATTGCTAACTATTTTCCCCGCAGTTCTATTTCTCCCCAGCACAAGGTGTTATTTTACATTTCAAATCGTGTGGGGAGTGTGTCTGTGCTTGGGGCCCACCTGCTACCTTCGGCCCTATTGTCAACTAACCTATTGTGTTAACTTAGATTTAGATTCAAACGCAAAAAAAGGGTAAAAAGAATTAAGAAATACTAAATTTGTTGTTGTGTTCTGTTTAACTTAAACTGTAACAGGCAAAATAGTAGGTCATATGCGAGTATGGTACTGTAGGACTGCAGGATATACATATAGGGTATTCGCCTAAAATAATGGAGATAAACAATGGAACAGAAAAATACATTTACAAATTAAGCTGTTAAAGAAGCTATAAGACTATGCTTTTTTTTTCATTTGCAGCTGTGGAGACATCACCTTTCAAACATGCAATACACGTCATAGTAATTCTGTTCTCATTGATAATTCAGATACTTTGTCTTTTCCTGTTAAGCGCAGAGGCACAGGCTAATAAACAAATACATATGCAAAAATAAAAATGTGTGAAAAACTAATTTGTTGATTGGATTATGGCTTAATCCAGGTACTGCAGGCATAGCAAAAACAAATCACAATTCATCACATTCATAAGACATCAATATGCAAGACAATGTTTATTATTCATGAACTGTTTTGATGTTTTTTTTTCTTTAACTGCCCCTTAATCCTTATCTGTAATTGGAGCAGAGTGACAAATCATTGCATTGTCTTTAAAAGTGTAAAGCAGAGATTTTGTTTTCCATACCTGTAACATTATCAGAATTACAAGTTCATAAAGACCTAGCATCATACATTGGTCTATGGAAGTGATAGCAAATAACAAGAGATCAAAACATTCTAAATGTGCTGTTATTAGGATCAGGTAGAGTGGAAGGTGGGAAGATTTCAAAAGTGCTCTTCAATCATTATCCTTGAACTGCTAACCTACAGCTTCTCAGCTTTACGGACGGCTAAAACATAAATGATCACTTTCAAAAACAATTCTGTCGAGTTTAAAATAAATAAAAGTGACACCACTGGAACAAAAGAACTTCAGATATTACACATATTATGTTGTGTTCATCAGTCATAATTCACCTTGCAATTATTGTGAGTCTTGTTCTAAAACATTTGGCGAACATACAGGTAGTTAGTTCTATGGTGAATGTCCACTTCTCCAAAGCATCCAGAAATGAATTAAAAAGGCTTGAGAAGATTTTGTTTTACAGCAGAGACACAGCTCCATTCAGGTTATATTTCAAGCAACACTAGCTGATAATCTTCATTTTAATACTATATCTAAAGTGACTGGTTTGAACCCACTGTGCAAAATAACATTCATGTACAATCTGAAAGCACCCCTGGTGCTATTTTTATCTTTTTATATATCCAGCAATCTTGTGGACAATTGACCAGATTGCGGTGCGGTGTTTTAGAAAAAAAAAAAGTTTTCCCTGAAGAAAGTCTGTGCAATTTTACCGGGAAGATAAAAATCTGCAAATGTAAAATCAATAATTTAATCTATAACATGAGTTACAGCACAATCTTTAAAAAAAAGGCATCTTTGCCTCTTATCATTGGCTTTCGGAGGCTACTGCTGCATTTTCCGAGATACAAATCTGGATTGAATAAGACCTAAATGTATTGCATATCCACATGCTTGGCATGGGGGAGACAGTAAATATAGCGCAGCTCATCTTTTTCTCAGGAAAGTGTTCAGGGACCTCACCAGAGAAAGCAATCGAGACAGACAGGAACACCATGAAATGACCAGTTCAGTGACTAGGTACAGATTCTGTCTGTCGACTGTGGCCGAACCTTTTTTGGATGAAATTGTTTGAGGAAACCTCGCCAGAAGCATAAACAGCAGCTTGAACGAAAGAAGCTCTGCCTTTGCTGCTGCCATTGAGCCCCAGACCTAGACCAGCCCCTGCTGGTGATATTTAGTTCTCTATACAGTTTCCTTTCAGAGTGGGTCGCAAGGGTTGATGAAGCCTATAATCCGCAGATTTACTGGCTGCAGTTGGGCAGTTGAAGTGATGAGGCGCTGGGGCAGACGGCGCGGAATGAACTCCTTCGGGCAGACAGGAAGGCAACGCTGTCCTCCGCTCCGCTGCTCCTCGACCGCACAGCGACCGTTTCTCATCCAGGCTTTCCAGGTGGCAGTCGCACAGGTCGAGCAGAGCCGCCACCTGCTCGTGGAGGGGTGGCGACTTGAATCTCCTCTGCGCCAAGTAGAAGAAGGCTTCCACAAAGGCCTGAAGGCCCATCCCTGCGACAGGAAAAAAAAAAGGACTTCATATTCCGCTGCTGCTCAACAAAATAAACATTTTGCCCGGGCCCTGTTTTAATTCGCCGCGCAGGAAATCACTTCAAATTGCACTTGCTTGCTGGAAAAGGGCTAATTGCAAATCCTACCGCCAAGCACTCCTGAGCATGAACTCCAAAGGCAAGAATACCTGATGTCTGTTACAGGCCCTCTAAGCAAAACAGCAAGTGAAAAAGGACCAAACTGTACGAATGAGGTTATGTTTACTGGCTCTCAACAAGATCTAATTGTCACCTTACATTTAGGATACCAACTGACAGTAGGTAGTAAATAGGCTTCAGTAGTATGTCCGGAGTTCTGCAGCTTGACTCAAACTGCATGGTCTACCTCGAAATGTAAATATGATTTTAAGGATCTCCAATTTACAGGAAAAGAGCACTAAATGATGTAGCTCCAGGATTTTTTAATTGGAAAGGCCAACACATAATGAGCTGATTCATATTGTACCTAAGACCACCCTCTACAATGGATGATCAAGCTTTCTCTACTGCTGCCCCACGACTGTAGGAGTCACTGACCAAAAGCATCAGACAGTGGCTGTGGCTGTGGACCAGTTTTAAAAATTAACAATAAACATTTTCTTTACTATAGCTCAATTGAACATTGTTTTTTTCCCTGTTTCTAAAGATTAGTATTCTTTCGAGTCTTTTTAAGAAGGACTTATGAATTAAATGCATTACATTATCACTAATAGGATACATTGCCAAAGAGAGTGGAGGACAGTGTTCTGTGGATGGCAGCAAGCACTGCAGGCTCCCAGCTGTTCCCTTTTGCTGCTGTTGTGCAGAAAGCCAAGAAAACCCTGACTGATTAATGCCCAACCAACTTCACCAGACCTGGTCACAACTGGCTAATAACATTGCCAAGCCTCAGACCAGCATGGACCATCTGCCCTTTAAGCAAGCATCCTTAATGCTTAGGGAACGCAGGAGTGTTATAATTAATTTTAATGTCACTAAATATTGAAGTGGTCAGCTAAACATTAAAAAGTAACCACAGACGTTAAGTATACCTACTAACAGATAAAGAAATGTGCAATAGTAATAATTCTTTCAAGCAAAAGGCAGCTGTTACTGTAGCTCACAATGGGTGTGCTTATACCCTTATGCTGAGTACCTACAGAATACCGCAGCTGCCAAACAGACTCTGCCACTTCATCCTGGCCGTTCTTCTTCTGCCATTTCTATGTGAGAATGGCATCCCATTTGCAGTTTCTGCCTTACTGCTGCCCTGACAGTTCCACAGAGAACAGGGAAACTATTTTTTTCTTTTTCATTTTTCACAAGATTCATTCCCCACATGTATTTACTCGACTCTTCTCCTCCCCTAACCATGAAAGAAAAAGCAGCCTTCAGACAATAGTTAGTAGGTAGTGCTCCTGTCTCCAGGATCTGCTTGTGTAATTTGTAGGTAGTTAAAATGTACTCTATCATTTCTATTTCAAGATGGGCTTCTGCCTCCCCCAAATAACTCATACAAGGGATTTTCAAATACTCAACCAGCATAAAATCATGCAGTCTTGGTAGGATGGGAGCTGGTTGTGTCCATGGGTCTCTAGGCTGTCTAGAGTCTTACTTTCCTATTTTACAGAGAGCCACAGGCTTGTTATTGAATTCTGCCACACATACTGTAATCCAGGCTTATTACTCCAAATATTTCCAGAAATCCATGGAGGCAGGCCTCATCTATTTGGATAACTGACTCCTTCTGAATTCCTTATACCAACGTTGGGCACAGGTGGCAAGACTACAGGAGAATTTTGCCAACATGAAGCAATAACAACATTATTTTACTGAGGACCAATGAATCTGCACAAACTCTCAAATTAATCTATCAATGTTTGAAAGGGCGAGAGAGCTTGAGAGCGTGTGCAAATACAAACGTGTCTTAGTTTTATTCATATTCTTTTTGAGAAACTTGCCGGCACTGTATATCACAACACAGAGGTATAAATATACAGCATATGTGCACTTTTGTAATCAACACCAGTGTGATTTGAAAAGCAAGTGTCTGACTAGGTTTTTATGAAGTGTCGTAGTACATAACGAAATGCAATCCCAAATGGATTAAGAAAAATGAAACACATCTCAGTGGTGATTATAAAAGGATAAAATCAAATTGCCTTCACATTGCACTACATTGGTGAAGTGTCAAGTTTCCTTTTATAAAATTCCAATTATTTTAATAATTTTTGTTATTGTAAAGTAGCTTTCCAATGAATTTTAAGTCTCCAGTTCCTGTGTAATAAAACATTACTTTATAATTAACTCAGATCAGGCTATCTAATATGGCATGAGTATGTCAGAGGCTTTAACTTGGATAACGCTACATAAAGCAACTTTTTTATGACATTGCAGCCTGACAGAACTCATCCCATCTCATTTTCCCAGTGGGCCATTCCTGGTACACCTCCAGCAGGAGGCACCCTGGAAAACCCTCACCAGATGCCTGAACCACCTCAACTGGCTCCCCTCGATTCAGAGGAGCAGTGATTCTACTCCAGAGGCCTCCCAGATCGCCGGGCTCCTCACCCTGTCAAAGAGAGTAAACCCAGCAGCCTTATGGAGAAACCTCAATTTGGCTGCTTGTATCCCCAATCTCATTCTTTCAGTCTAGGAGCAAGTAATAGGTTTATTCCACACTGAAAAGAGAAGAAGAAAACACAACATTTCGGCCATGGAGCCTTCTTCAGGTGTCTGAAGGCTGAAGAAGGCTCACACCTGAAGAAGGCTCCATGGCCAAAACATTGAGTTTGCTTTCTTCTCTTTGCAGCATGGAATAAACGTATTACTTGTTCGTTTGCAGCCTACGCATGCTGACGCAGCTACCCACCTGAAATTCTTTCAATCTATGCCCCAAGCTCTCTATGGGTGAGGATGGGGACGCAGATCGCGTGGAAAACTGAGAACTTCGTCCGAAAACTCAGCTTCCGCTTCTCAGCCAGGCTTCGATACAATGTGTGGACATTACTGCAGCCACTGAACCAATCTGCCGGTCAACCTCTGATCCCCTTGACCCTCCCTCACAAACTAGAGCCCAGGGTCCTCCACTTGGGACAGCTGCACTCCCCTCGCCTGGAGGGAGCGATCCAACTGTGCTACAGAATAATACTGCCATCATGCCTTTTTATAATTCACTAGATCAATTTAGTTACTGCTTTCTTTTTGCCCTGTGTGGCTCTCTAATTCCACATTCCCTAAACAGGGCAAAGAAGAGACGCTGAGGTCACTTCATACAAGGATGGGGATAATCAGGATAGAAGACCAGACTGAAGTGTGAGTAATCCTCAACATTCATGTCTTTGGGAGGAGGAGGGAGCCTGCAAAACACAGTTAAAACCTGCGCGAACACAGAGAGAACATTCACACTCCAGAAATACTCTGACTGGAATGGAAGCCAGGACACTGGAAATGTGAGGCAGGCTTAGCGTTCCTAATCACCATGCTTTCATGCTGCTTTTTCTGTCGCAGTGCAGAAAAAAAATATGGATCAACCAAATACTTTAATTTACCTGGAGGTGAATTTTACATACAATATCATGTACTGTGTGATAACAGCAAGACCAATCAGGATTTAAAAAAACAAACAAACCAATGGCACACAGCTAAGTACCTGGGGGAAAACCTTTAAGAAAAAGGAAGAAATTGACTTGGCAGAGCAATGGTGAAAACCTGAAAATGAATTCTCTGACGGCAATCAGGTTTGATCTCGTTAATTAAAAGCAAAAAAGACCAAAAAACAGCTTGAAATCACATGATGCTAGAAAGGTACTGTCATAAGTATCCGTCTAAAATAAATACAAATCCAAGGGATACTTTGCTGGCAGGAACTGCAGAGATCTGAGGATTTATCTACAGACAGCAGCTGTAGCTGCACAAAATCATGCTGTTAGTCACGGCTGGCTGGAAAGAATACAATCGCTACAGCTCAACTGAGTGACTCATCCAAGCTCGGATCGAAATTTAAAACAAAGTGATAGCTGACCGACAGATGAAAAATAACACGGAAGTTTGACTTTTGGGGTTGACAGGTGGTACTACTTGTGTCAAGGTGACAAAGTTTCTCTTTTCTAATTAACACTTGGCTGCGATTAACCAAACATGAACAGCCTACTCAAAGGCAGAAAAGTAATATAAGCATAAAACAATGATAAAAAAATGATAAAAACAAAACATTAAAACTGTATCCTTAGGTCTGTTCTTCTAAAGTATTAGAAAATACCAGAACTTCTTACTCTTCCAGTCAGAAAACAGGTTCCTTATGTAAATGACAGATCTTCATATTAAAATAATAACCTAATTATTTAATGGACATGAAAATTGGGGTTTCAAAGCCCACCTTTTGTTTTTGCCATGGAACTTTTGGGCAGCAAGTAAGGTTTGACAGGGTGAAACACAGAAGGATCCCTTCAGTCTCTGAGCCACTTCTGTTACAGTGAATGCCTATTCGAATCCCATATCGGCCCATTTTGGGTTCCCTGCAGGGGATAGCCAATGAATGAATGCTGAAAACACACTGTGCGGTTCAGAAGATTTTCACAGTGGCAAGATCTACTAACACAAGGAATGGCCAATGAATTAATGAGTGTTAAAAACAACTGGAGATAAAAACGGAATATGTGCAACCTAGCCTACTCTGTTCTAAACCAGCTCCCCTGAAACCAGAAAAGAAATGCTCAAATATACCAAAACAGCAAAGATTAAAATAGTGGATATACAGTAGCTCTCCCGTACGTCTGTAGAGAAACTAAAGCAAATGAGCGTGAAGATTTTCTTTTATTTTGCTTTGGAATAATAGGCCATTTGCCACCGAAGAATCTTTAAAAAAAAAAAGTCATAACTAGATGTTAAAAAAATTGGTTGCCTAGCTATGGTTTCCTTCACACCCATTATATACATTTCTTCAAGATAAGAAAAAAACGACAGAAGAAACTTTGGAAAAGG